GCCTAAGACCATCGGAAAACACATATATAATTACATATTGTTTTTGTGATTAATCACTATGCTTTAATTATGTTCAATTTGTAACAATGAAAATACATCCTGCATATCAGATATTTACATTACGATTCATAACAGTAGCAAAATTACAGTTATGAAGTAGCAACGAAAATAATTTTATGGTTGGGGGTCACCACCACATGAGGAACTGTATTAAAGGAAGGTTGAGAACCACTGGTCTAGAAGGTGCCATATGACCTTGGCAAGTTATTTGTCCTCTTTGAACCTCAAGGCTCCTCTGTAGACTGGAAGTAATAATAACGTGACCAGGGCTGTTGTGAGAACCAAATGAAATAACGGGCCAGAGAGCTAGCCTTCTGGGGCGCTCTCCCGGCGGGCGTGGCGGGGACCCTGGCTGGGAGGCTGACCTGGCAGTAAGGACTGGGCCTCAGGTGGACATTTTTCTCTCCCCCTTTTTTTTTTTTTTTAGGGGCCATGCTAATCTTCTCTGTATCGTTCCAATTTTAGTATATGTGCTGCCGAAGCGAGCACCCAGTTAGTTTAATAAGGGCAACAATAAAGCAAAAGAACTATAGAGAGTGTTTTCTTTCAAAGACTATAGCTTTATTTTACAGCAATATAAGCACTTTCGCTAGTTACCCCACTATAACTTCCTTGAAAACACTTCACTTCCTTGAAAACCTTTAGAACAGTGACTATTCTTTCCAAGTTACAGTCAAACACACTGTCATTAATATAATCATAAATTCTGATAGCTGAGCTTAGGAGGCATGCCAATGTGCCATCCTGTAGACAGCAGAAAACCACCCCAATGAGGAAACTGATGAGTAACACACAGTTAAATTACATTTTTGCTTTAAGTATGTTTTTAAAACCAGCTCATCTCTCAATGAAATCGTGTTTTTATATAAACACTAAAGTTCAAACTAAGCGATTCTTCAACTACTCCAAAAAATACAGTAGAATGTTGATGGATTTCTGGCTGGGTTTTAAAACTAGCTCCCCAAGGAATAAAAGCAACAGAAACCAGTTTTTGCAAAGCCTTCAGAACAAAACTTCAAGAATAGCAAAAGTGCTTCAAGAATTATTATTATAATTAGAATACTCTTTTGCACTTAGAAAAGTATAATATTTTTCCCTTTATAGCACAAAAACTGAACCAGAAGCCAGAAGTGGAAAAGAACTAAAGTTGTTACATTAAATAAGAGGGAAATGTGTGTGTGTGTGTGTGTGTGTGTGTGTGTGTATGTATACATATACTATAAAGACTGTACTCACCAAAAATTATTGATTTGTGGTAATGGGTAAAAAAAAATCAACAGACTTTTGAAGGAATTCTGAGAAAATTTCACTTAACTATTCTTAAATATCATCTGTTATTTTTTAAAACCTTTATTACTGAAAGTATTACATATGTCCCCTTTTTCCCCCATTGAACCCTTATTGCCCACCACAGCCCCCTGCCCCAGGCCTCCATACCCTCTTGTCTGTGTGTTAATTTATTTTTTTTAAATAAGAATCTATTTTACCAGTCCCCCCTCACCCCCATCTCTCAGGACCCTTCGCCGGCCCTATCAGATGTCAAACAGCTATGCTGAGAAACCCATCTGGCCAGGGTTCATGCAGATTTTCAGACCCGCTGGCTGCTCCCCGTTTCTCAGAGGGATCAAACCTTTTCATGGTTAAGGAAGATACTAAATCTGAAGGGAGGAGTCTTGGGGTTGGATGGACTGTGACCCTCACCCCCATCTCTCAGGACCCTTCGCCGGCCCTATCAGATGTCAAACAGCTATGCTGAGAAACCCATCTGGCCAGGGTTCATGCAGATTTTCAGACCCGCTGGCTGCTCCCCGTTTCTCAGAGGGATCAAACCTTTTCATGGTTAAGGAAGATACTAAATCTGAAGGGAGGAGTCTTGGGGTTGGATGGACTGTGAAGCTTTGACCACAGTCACACAGGCAGTGTCACATGTAGACACACGGTCAGCCAGGGTCCCACAGGGACCATTAGGCTCCTGGCACAGAAGTACACACAGGCCCATTGGCCCACGAACTCATAGTCACAGCCAGAGAGGCAGCACACAAAAGCACCCCGAAACCCTCACACAGGTACACAGCACATAGACTCACTGACCAAGAAAAAAATAAAGACAGGGTCCCCCTCACCCCCCGCCCACTGCCTGGGGCTCCTGGCCCAGCCCGTCCTTCTGTCCCCTCTGCTCCCCAACACTTTGCATTCCCCTGGTCATCCACTGCCCACATCGCCTGTGCGACTTCCGTTGACATGTCAGAGTCTGTCTGACCACGTGCAGCAGGAGTGAGGGGGCTGAGGGAGGGCCAGGCCTGCCCGCAAGTCCTCCCTTTAGGCCTAGGTACCGTCTTTCGCTGTGAAAAGTCAGGTCCCTCTGAGGAAGAGGAGAAAGGTGAGCAGGTTGAAACCTAAACTGTTTTGTGGCGATTTACTCCAGACCAGCCTTGGACACTAAATCTGACCCGTCTCCTGCTTCCGGGCCAGGGATTTGCCTTCGGGGAATGAGGAACAGAGGCCTGTGGATGGGGGGCTCCTGGAGGTAAGAGAATGCTGTAGGCCCTCAGTACCGCGCCCTCTGGTGCGGGGAAGGGCAGAGCCTGGGCACGGATGCCGGCGGGGTGGGAAGGGGGCAGGATTATGGCATTTCCCCTCAAGCTGGAAACAAAGGCAGATTCCTGTGTCCAGCTCCAGCAAGCTGGTCCCACCCCTCGAGTGCCTGGAGCTAGAGGAAATCCCGCCGGCCTCTGGCCTCGCCCAGCCAGCTGCCCCTCGGCCAAAGGCTCTGCCTCCCAGCCAGGGCCAGGACCTGCCCTCAATCCTGGGAACCTCATCCTGTCCAAACACCAAGCCCTCCCCATTGGGAATAGTCCCCGTAGCCCCTCAGACTCTGTCCCCAAGCTGCAAGGGTCTGCTCAGCACCACCCCAGAGCCTACCAGACCCCCACACCCCTGCCGGCCAACGCGGGCCACCCTCACCCCAGCAAACGCAGGCCCTGCTTTTCTTTAGTGGACAAAATCTGGGTGCCTCTAGGAACTCCCGTGCCATCCAAAATGCTCATCAGGCCCTGCAGGCATCCCACCATCCTGAGTGGGGACTGTGTGCCTCAGCTAATTGGCACATGTTCCTTTTTTGCACAAAATTGCAGCTCTAGGGAAGGGTGGGGGGGGGGCACTATGCTTAATTAGGGAAGGGTCAAGGGATACCATGTGACCCTAATAGAACAGGAACTAAAGAGGTATTATTACAAAATAACAACATAACGATAAATAATTAGGAGGAAGAGAAACTAAATGACCTAAATTATGAAGTTTTAAAATCTATAAATAGCAGCAAGACAAATATTACATGGTATCCCTTATATATGGAGTGTAAAAAAAAGTCATACTTATAGAAATAGAGTTTAAAAAATGGTTGCCACCCTAGATGGTTTGGCTCAGTGGATTGAGCGTTGGCCCAAGACTGAAGGGTCCCAGGTTGATTCCGGTGGGTGGTATGTACCTCGGTTGCAGGTTTAATCCCCCACCCTGGTGGGGGCGCGTGCAGAAGGCAACCAATGGGTGTATCTCTCTCACATTGATACTTCTCTCTCTCTGTCTCTCCCCATCCCTTCCACTCTCTCTAAAAATCAATGGAAAAATATCCTCGGGTGAGGATTAACAAAACAAAAAAAACCCAAAAACAAAAATGGTTGCCAGGAGCTGGGGGTGGATGAATGGAGGAACTAGGAAATGTTAAAAGGGTACAAACTTTCAGCTATAAGATGAATAAGATCTCAGAATCTAATGTAAAACATGGTGACTCACTGTATTGTATAACTGAAATTAGCTTAGAGAGTAGTACTTAAATGTTCACACACACACACAAACGCTGGCCGGAGTGGTTCAGTGGTCAGAGGAATGGCCCAAGCTCCCAAGGGTCTCGGGTTCAATTCCTGATCAAGGGCACATACCTGGGTTGCAGGTTCGCTCCCCAGCCCCAGTCGAGGAGCATGCAGGAGGCAACGGGTCAATGTGTCTCTCTCCTATGGATGTTTCTCTTTCTCTCTCTCTCCCCCTCTCCTTCCTCTCTCCTTCCCTCCTTCCCTTCCTTCCAATCTCTCTGAAAAACAATAGGAAAAATCCTCAGGTGAGGATTAACAACAACAATGTATACATATATCAAGTCATTGTGATGTATACTTTAAATATCTTGCAATTTTATTTATCAATTATACTTCAACAAAGCTGCACAACATCTGGAGATAGCATTGTAAACATTACTTAGGTTATCGAAGTAAATGTCAGAGAAATGAATAGCTGAAACCTTGAGAATTTCATGTATTTATTTATTTTTACCCTGTGTTTATTAGGAATGCCTTGAATATTTTTTCAGAATGGCCGCTTCATACTTCGAAGTCCACTGTGGTAGCGACACACTCATCTGTATAACAAGGCCCTCAGGCAGCTTTTAGTAGGAGAGGCATCGTTCAGCACCCGTTTCTGAGCAGGTAAGAAACAGAGCCCCCGTCACACAGCCAAACCTCATGCTCTTTCTCCTGTCCCACAGCTGGGCCTCCCTCCCTCAAAACAAACCGAACATCCGTGTGGGTTTTCAGCTGGTAGAGGACGCTCCCGGATGTTTTGTTTTTATTCTGAGAACTGGCAGAGGCGGTATCAGCAGCCCTTCCTTACAGGTATGGGAGCTGATGTCCACACATCGCGCCTCCAACTCCAAAGTAGCCTCTTCCCCTCCCTCTCCTCTCCCTCCTCTGGCCGGACCAGTGGGGTAGGGGAGAGTCAGAGCCTGGAGGCGAGGCGGCCTGTGGGGAGGGACATTCCAGAGGTCGCTGGACTTCAGGGAGGAGGCTGTCCTGGAGCAGCATTTCATCAGAGCCCAGGCTGCAGGCCAACCCACCCCGAGGCATTGTGTGGGTACCGTCTAATCTCAGACTCCTGCCCTGACATGCCAGCCCTTCCTCAAGAGGCTCCATCCTGAGATGAGTCATCCCAGGGCTCAGGGGTGGGCCAGGAGCGGATGAGCCCTCTAGGACATCCTGGAGGAGTCGGAGAGGAGCAGGAAGGTGACTGGGTGGCTCACCCAATCGGGCCCCTGTCTGCCAGCCTCTTCCTAAGGTGCTGGGCTGTCCACACCCTCCCCAGACCTTAGCGCCAGCCACATTGAGCTGTGGTGACAGGGCCTGAAGACCGGGTCGTTTCCCAAATCTTAGAGTCAAAGAAGATCATACAAGGCTGGGAAGGATCTTTGCAACTCTCCAGTGTAAACACCTCGGTGTTCAGAGGAAGCAACTGAGGCCCAGAGAGCTGGATCCAGGCCTGGAACCCAGGGCACTGTGGCACCTCCTGCCCTGAGCTGCAGGAGACAGAGGGGGCCACTTCTTCCTCCAGGCAAAACGTAGCTGCATCTAGCCCACAAAGCTGGAGTTCCCCCCTCTGTGTGGAAGAGATGGAACATGGACTTCACAGGTATCTGCCTCCCTTCTCCCCCAAAGGAGACGCAGTTCTTCTTCCTCGGGTACCCTGTTCTCCTGTTCATGTCTCTCACATCTGAAACATCCCTAGGTTGTCTGACTTAAATCTCCCACTCTGCCATTTAAGGGAGGCAAAGCCCAGCCCACCCTCTGCTAATTTCCTCCCCTGCTTTTCCTTCCTACTCATCCTGGTGCAGAACCGCTACATAATCCGTGGGGCCCAGCACAAAATGAAAATGCTGAGCCCTTTGTTCAAACATTATTAAGAATTTCAAGATGGCAGCAGCAGAGCATTAAATGGCATGGGGCGCCCTGCATCTACAGAGGGTGAAAACCGTGGCGTTGGCCCTGCTCTGGTGGCAAAAGCGATACTTAAACTCAACACTCGTCGCTGGTCCTGAAAAATCAAGTTGTTCATTCCTCTGCCTTCATGCCAGCTCCCGGGCACCTGCCTTCCATAGGTGAGAATCCGCTTGAGGTTTCACCCACACACCCTTCCCAGGAGCAGGCCTCTGCTTCACACTGCTGGGAAATCCTTCCGAGTATCTAAATTTAAATCTCAGTCCTTCAGGCCTGTTTCCTCTTGTTCTGTCCTCGCTGATTATGGGGAACAGCTGGTCCTTCTGTGTAATTAATTCTTGTAGACTTGGACGCAGTCTGCAATTCCTTTTCCCTTTCCTCATTGGGCTCAGCCTCCACTGTTTTCTCCAGCTCTGTCCCTCCTGGGATGCCTGTCCCAGCCTCTCTGCGTGCTGTGGAAGCCATGAGTTTCACAAGAAGCTACCAAGAGCATGAATCAGTGTCCAGAGGACTCAATGCCTGGGGGCCGAGGGGGTGGGGAGTGTAGACTCCAGCACTGATGAGCAGCCCATCCCCCATCCTGCCCTGTCTTCCTCCTCCAAAAGTGCTCTACTTTTATCTATTTCATGGATCGCTTCCAGATAAAGTCCCCCACCCCCACTGACTCACATTGGCGACTCTCAGCTCCGATCCACGGTGATGTTTCTGTTCTCAGGGTGTGTCTCAGAATGAACGCTTCCCTTGGGAAAGCCCGACTTCCACGTCCCAGGACAGAGATCCGTGGGCTGGGGCTGGGAGAGGTTTATCAGAAGCCATGGCAGGGCAGGGGAGAGAGTGGGTATGAAAGACGGCCACGCGGCCACACGCTCATGTCTCCAGCTAATAGAGTGCCAAGTGGCCGCTATAATCTGAAAGAGCAGACACTGTAATCCTATAGTACTTCCTATTGGCTGCAGGACACTGCTCTGTCCTGACACTGAAATTTGGGTGTGCCTTGGTGCTGGAATTCACAGGCTCATGTTGTAAAGCAGCTGTGGGGGGTGGAGTGGGGAGGGTTGCAGCAAAGGAAGTGAGGTCAGTCAACAATTGATGCCTTTAGCTATTGTCTCCCCCAGCCTCCATTCCCGTCAAAGGTTGGGGTCCCTTGCCCATCTTACAGAATCTCCATATTAGAGCAAGACACCTTAGAGGTCTGCTCCTGTTTTAAATCTTTGTTTTTGAGAGTATTACAGATGTCTCCCATTTTCCCCCATTGCCCTCGTCCACCCAGTTCCCACCCAACTACAGGCCTTCACCACACTATTGTCTATGTCCATTGATTAGGCATATTTATATATATAAAACCCTAATATGCAAATAGACTGAATGGCAGAACAACCGAACAACCGGTCGCTATGATGTGCACTGACCATCAGGGGGTGCCCACGGAACATGGCAGGTGTTGGTCACAGTGGGATGGTGGAACAGGTGAGCGAGGGTGCCAGACCAAGGCGGGGCACTGGTCGCTGTTATTGGGGTGAGCCTCTGATGGCTACTTAAAGTTCTTTGCTCCTGTGTGCCGCGGTCCTGCCTGGCGCTCGCACCCACTGCCGGTGCCCAGCGCTGGCCCCGATTGCTCAGCACCATCAGCGGGTGCAAGTGGTGGCTGCCCCGCGGTCCTGCCTGGCGCTCGCACCCACTGCCGGTGCTGGAACTGCCGCTCGCAACGCTGCTGGTGCCCAGCGCTGGCCCCGATTGCTCAGCACCATAAGCAGGTGCAAGTGGTGGCTGCCAGCCCCGATTGCCCCTCAGAGCTTCTCCACCTCCCCCTGCTCCTGAGGGGTGATTGGGGCCAGCAGCTGCCTCTTGCACCCACTGCCAGCAATGGTCCTGCTCACACCCACTGCTGGTGCTGGAGCTGCCACTCGCACCTGCTGCCGGCACCCGGCACCGGTCCTGATTGCTCTGCGCTGTCAGCAGGTGCAAGTGGCGTCTGCTGGCCCCGATCACTCCTGAAGGCTTCTCCACCTCCCCCTGCTCTTGAGGGGTGATTGGGGCAGCAACTGCCGCTAACACCTGCTAAGGGCCCCAGCCACACTTGCACCCGCTGCTGGCGCCAGCCCCAATTGCTCCTCTCCATCAGCGGGTATGAGCGGGGCTGGCACCGTCAGTGCGTGGGAGTGGCAGCAGCGAGAGCGGGGCTGCTGGCAGAGAGGGGGCCGGGGACCATGAAGGTAGGGGCTGAGCTGGGGCATGGAGGATGGGCCGAGACCCACCCCTGTGCCCACCACAGCCTCGCAGCCCACAGTTTCTTTCAAGGTGCACAAATTGGTGCACTGGGCCCCTAGTCCTATATAATAAAAGCATAATATGCAAATCGACTGAATGGCGGAATGACCAGTCGGTGGGGGACAGGGCCAGTGAGCAGGAGGCACCAGGCCAGCCAAGACGCATGCCAGCGGGCAGAGGGACGGGACAGTGACTGGGGAGTGGGGGCAACCAGCAGCGGTGGAGGGGCGATTGGGGGAGGAGGAGGCAGGCGGTGGCGGTGACCAGCAGTGGCGGAGAGGTGATCGGGGGGAGGGGGCAGGGCGGGCCACTCGCCAGCCAGCGCCGTCCCCTGAACAGACTGCCCGGTCACCTCCTGCAGAGGATGCCATCAGTTAGACATCCCCTGAGGGCTCCAGGACTGTGAGAGGGTGCAGGCTGAACTGAGGGACCCCGCCCTGAGTGCATGAATTTTCATGCACTGGGCCTCTAGTCTATATAATAAAAGCCCAGCAACCCTTAAGGTGGAATGACTAGAATGACCGGTTGCTATGATGCACACTGACCACCAGGGGGCAGATGCTCAATGCAGGAGCTGCCCCCTGATGGTCAGTGCGCTCCCACCGCTGGAGTGCCACTCAGCCAGAAGCCGGGCTCATGGCTGGCGAGCGCAGCAGTGGTGGCGGGAGCCTCTCCTGCCTCTGTGGCAGTGCTAAGGAGCAGCGAGCCAAGCGGTAAGGAGCGAGCAGGTGGGCAGTTAGGAGTGAGGGGTTCTGGATTGCAAGAGGGCGCAGGCCGGGCTGAGGGGGGCCCCTCCCCCTGCCCCCGCACGAATTTCGTGCATCAGGTCTCTAGTGTGCATATAAATTCTTTGGTTATTCTCTGCCCAACCTCCCACCCCCTTCCCTCTGAGATCCATCAGTCTGTGCCATGCTTCCACACCTCTGGATCTATTTTGTTTGGCGGTTTATTTTGTTCATTAGATTCCATATATGAGTGAGATCATGTGATACTTGTCTTTCTCTGACTGGCTTATTTCACTTAGCATAATACTCTCCAGGTCCCTCCATGCTGTCTCAAAGGGTGAAAGATCCTTCTTTTTTACAGCTGCATAGTATTCCATGGTGTAAATATACCACGGCCTTTTTAATCCACTCATCTACTGATGGGCACTTGGGCTGTTTCCAGATCTTAGCTATTGTAAATAGTGCTGCTTTGAACACAGGGGTATATATATTCTTTCTTATTGGTGTTTCCGTATACTTAGGATACATTCCTAGAAGTGGGATCACTGGGTCAGTTTGATTTTTAATTTTTTGAGGAAATTCCATACTGTTTCCCATAGTGGCTGCACCAGTCTGCATTCCCACCAGCTTAGGGGTCTGCTCTTGCTTCTAATACCCATGTCTTTCTCCTTGGCTGAGATCAACCCCTCCTCAGCCTCTTCATTTATTCATGGAATTAAACACTTCCATTGAGGCCTAGCCTGTGTCAGACCCTGCCAATCCTGTGAGGCTGTGTGTGATGTCCACTTAACAGATGGGGACTGGGGCACGGGGAGGTGTCGGTGGCCTGAGCTTCTGTAACTAGGTGGATTCCCGGACTTCGGAGTGTTGGTGGGTAACCAGGAGGCTAGGAATCACCTTGCTTTCAGGGTGCCGGGCAGAAGCCACTCTGCTCCCTCCCAGAGCCTGGGCCCCCTGGTCCAGCAGTGTCCGGCGGAGGCTCTGGTCCCCGTGGCTAAAGCTCCCTTTGGTGGGTGGGGGGCTGCCCAGGGAGCCGTACCCAAAGTTTCCAGCCTCTCCCTCCACCCCCGAGGCCCATGGCCAGAGGCGCCTTGGCCACGGGCTTCCCCGGCCGCCAGCTGGAGGGGCTCAGGCTGTCCTCGCCACCGCCCCTCTGGGCCTGCTCTCCCTGCGCTGAGCAGAGGCTGCAGAAGCCGGGAGGGGACCAGCGGGGGTGAAGGGACAGAGGGAGGAGGCTGAGGACTTGGACGAGTGGGGAGCACAGGGGGCCCACATCTTCGCACCCCGTGAGCCCACGCTCTGCCCTTGGACGGGGGGTTGAAGGCGGGAAGGACAGGTAACTTCTCTCCCCTAAGCCCGCCCCGCACGTCCTCCGCATCCAAGATGCCCGGTCCCCCCTCCGCGGCTCCGAGTGG